TCAAGGCGGGGTATTGGGTAAAGTTTTCAACTAGCAATAATCGCGCCTCGGATAAACCTCATAGGCTACGATACTGCCACTGCGCAAAGCTGACTTCCTCTAACAATAGAGAAGTTATTAAGAACGGGCTCCATCCTTCTCGGTCATGGTTTTAATGTGGGCGTGGTTTCCACGTTACCGAGCGTTAAAAACTACATTCCCGGCTCTAAAAACGTAAAGAATCATATATCTAATAAAGTATTAAAGATAAATCCAGCTAGTCTATGACAGAACTTTAAATCGGCAATTACTGTTAAACTCAGCAACGTTCCAGGGCAGGATGCAAATTGACCAAATGTTTTTGCTTCTTTTACTTATTTAATATTTGAAAGCAAGTAGTGTTGCTGTCAGTTCTAATGAGAAAAATAAAGAGAAATCAGTCGCGGATAAGTTTTTCTTTCATAAAAGTCGTGTTATTCAGGGTTCAGCTGTGTTTGTTCACCACTGATTAGTGGCGTTAACAGCAATGACGTCATATCCTGTGCATCATTATTTAGGGCTCGAAAAAGTCCGAAATCAGGAGGTTCCAGCTGGACCGATGTACTTTTTATCACTCCGTTTCCGCGGGTATACAAGACACTAGCAGGAAAAAACGAGCTGTTTGCCTGTTTAAATTGTTTGATTTTATTTCGTTTTCACCCACTAAAACAAAATGCGGTCCAGTAGGTCACATTTCGTTTCAAGCCCGACTCTGCGGTGCTCTCCAAAATAAAGTTCCTACTCAGGCAGGCATGGAAAAACGCCCTTTCATTGTATTACCTTCCAACATCTGTTCTAAATGAAAGTAGGATTTAGTTACTGGGTTTACTGGGAATAGATATATCCATTGAGAGATGCATCAGCGATGAAATACACACATAAAAAGTCCGATGAGGCACTCAGGGCAGGTACCCTAAATAGCCAGCAGGTGTCGCCAAAGGGACCGTCAATCACCCTATGCGACAACAATATTCTACCACCTTGTTCATCATTGTCAAAAAATGGGACATTTATTAATCGGATATGTTTGTAGAGCCATTTTTATGGGAAAATACTTTCTCAGACAATTGTATAGGCATATATCTTGAGGAAGACCTGCAACGGTAGACCTATGGAGTTAGATGTGAGGTGAAAGCAAATCCCAGCATTTCCATCCGCTGGCCTAAAAAGTTTGAACAAACAATGTTCTTATTAAATATTGTTATGAAATTAGGCAAACTCAACTTTAACAGACTTAACCTACAGGGGCTGTATGTGTTTCTTCATTAGCAGAATAACTAAAAAAGCAGCTACTGAACAGATTTGAATAAGATTTTTAGGAATTGATGCTAAATGTAATGATTATCTCAATTTTCAGTCCGGATTTCCATTTTTATCAAGGAAGTATTTTGAGGATTCTGTGTCATTTGTTTAATTAAAACAGCTTACTTATGTGTGTGCTTGTCTGTCCAGTGGATTTCAATTTCCACCTTTTAAATTCAAATCAGAATCAGAATTCCATTTCATTTATTGTCATTATACAAGTACAATGAGATTGAAAGCATTTACTTAAAGCACACAACCATTTACAGGCTATAAAAGAAAAAAAAAGTTGATGATAAATAAACAGGAAAAATGTGTTAGTTGCTACAAATGTTTTCTTGATCTATAAGAATATATAGCCCTATATTTAAAAGAAATTCTCAGCCGCTGTTGAATGTCGCTGGAGCGTCTTATTCTCCTGTCCTCTTTTCTTGCTGCTTGTGCCTCATAAAACTGTCATTACCTCAGACCACATAGGAGTTTATATATATGTATGTGTATATATATACATATATGTTTTTAAGTATCACATGCTACAGCACACATTTCATTGTGGAAAATATTAACACAAATTTAGGTCTGAAAGGTTTAACATCTTTTTTCTCCCAGAGCAGGACCCTCACATTTAGCATACTCTGTATCTCATGAACGTACGATTTTAGTTTTTTTCATTTAGAGGTCCAGACCCCTTATCTCAAAACTTAACTATTGGAAATTGTTGATTTTATCGTATTATTTTAACAAGCCATATGATCCCGTGTTCATAAGCAGTGTAATGTTTTTGTGGTCCCAGCATGCACATTGGATGTTTTTACAGTGGTCCTCAGTGAACTTCAGGAGCTCAGTTGTGCCCAAACACATAAAAAATGAGAAGGTCCTGACTTTAAAACACTGCATGGTTGCTGTGGACCAGCTTCATTACTCTCCTCTGCCGTGAATGGGCCGTGTCCCATTTTAAGTAGTTGTCACCCAGGAGAGGTTTATGCTTTGTCTATTTTCATGCATATTATTATGTAGATGGGTTGTGTGCCTGTGCAAGCTAACCTCTTAACATTATTATGATCAAGATATAGTTAAACAGCTCTTTAAAGACGGTATCCTCATTAAATCCTGCAGTACTTGTATCTATTCAGTCAACTATGATATATACTTACATGACATTCAACTGTAGTAAAACGTATTTAATTTATTTACTCATGTTATTTGTCAGCCTATGGTTCAGCTTTATTAGATTTCTGATCTGAGAAAAAACAACAACAATCATTTAGCATTTTTAGAGAAATTCAGTCATAGCACAGATTTTAAGCTGTATGACAAGTCTGTCACCTGCAGGAATACCAGTTTTCTGCAGCTGAGGGAACAATTGAAGCTCAGTACAGAAAACCGTTCTGTCAGCAGGTAAAATCTTTTCTTGTTTGATGGTATTTAAAATGAGGTGAAGGACTTCAGTGCATTTGAGCTTGAGATATGCTAATAAATCAAATGTCGAAAAGAATCGGTGATGCTTTTAAATATGATGAAACCAGTTTCCACCCAAAAGTTAGAGCTATTTTACCAGGAGCACTAGTACTCCCAAATAAAAAAAAAAGTTTTGTAAATAGCACCATTTTCAGGAAATGTCATGTTTTGTGAGGCTGTTTTATTTTTCAAATGGGGGTTTCCAGCTACAACCGCCAATTTACCTGCCTTTACAATATAAGGTTGTCCTCCAACTCATGCCAGGGGTTTGGTTATCACACAATCACCTAATTTGTATATTTTTTTACATGTGTTGCTAATGTAAATCAACATCAGCGAGGCAGAAAGGGATTAAAAATACTCAAAATAAATGTAAAACTCATGATACAATTTATAAAACATTTTGTAGTGTTCCAGGAGGTTATTTTAAACTGAACTAAAAGTAAATCAATTTTATTTTTTTTATTTTTTTTATGTGAAGGAAGTTTTGTTTGAATCAAATGCAGGGAGGATCTATTTTAGAGCAACAGGTTTTTTTAATCCGTTTTAAAAATTATTTAAAGCCTCTGACTTAACACTCCATTTTCTCCTGGGTTTTGTGCATCTTCAGCAACTTGTGCAGCATCTTTTCTGGACCATCAGCTCCAGGATTCTGAACTATCCCAGCACAGAACCAGCCAGTCTTCAGGTCTCTTGATCTGCTGCCCCAGCAGAACCAGCATAAGAAATGTTTTTCCTGTAAAAAATATAGCAGTCAACAAGCACAATTCATATTTTATTAATTGTGATCTCTCCTCTGGTAGAGTGTATTTACCTCAACGTCGATATTCTTTGACAGCCCTCATACAAATACAAAATTTGTTTTCTTTAAGTGACTTAAGTTGACCAGAGAAAGCAGAACCCAGACCAAATTATAGGGGAAAGAGCTATAAATTTAATAGGCCTACAGCTAAAAAGATAATATCAATTCAGTTAAAAACTTACAAAACATATTTAAAAGAAAGCACTTTAATAATAGAAAAATTGCATAGGTTTATCTCGGCCATTTTTCCACATATATGATTAGATATATGGTTAAATATATTATTTCCATGAGAATATTATCTCATGTCAAACAGGTTCAAACTTTTAAGGCCAGTGGAAGGAAATACAGGGATTTGTTGTCTATTGTGGATTTTTTTTTCTTCTTCAGATATATGCTTAAATATTTGCCAGAAAAAGTATTTACACACCAAAAATAAAGTTCCACAGACAACGATCTGATTCATAAATGTCCCATTTATTGACTATGAAGAACAAGGTGGTAGAATATTGTGGCCACAGTCCCGTTGACGCAGGGCGACACCTGCTGGTCATTTAAAATACCTGCCCTGAGTGCCTAGTCACATTTATAACGTGTCTTGTCGCCCATAAATCTCTCTTGCACTAAATAGCTTCATTCCTAGTAACTCCTCTAGCTATATTTATACAAGACCCGCTTGCATTTAGATCCGATGCATAGGCAACGATGAGAACAGGAAACACATTAAAGGAAGTTTCTATATGCGTTCTTCTTCTTTTCTATTATGGCGGATCGAAACCAACTATATGTTTCATACTGCCACCTACTGTACAGGAGTGTGTAGCATCATTAATTTATTTAAATCAAATTATATTTTTTACTTTTTTCTTCTAATGCTTTCCTTAATCTGTAAATATCCCTTTTATTTCCTTTATTTCCCAATATTCCATTCTTGGCCTGTCCTTCCAACCATTCTTCTCAATTTCTCCCTTCCAGGTTCATAAGTTTTACAGTTCATCGGTACATGTTCTACATTTTCTTTTTCTGCACATCCTTCACAATTATCATTATTTTGCCTCCCTATTAAATATAAATTAACATTTAAAAAGGTATGACCCGTTCTTAATCATGATCACTGCTTCCTTTCTGTTTCTCTCATTATTATTTCGTACTTTATATAATCCTCTTCCTTTCTTGTCTTTATTACACCTTTCTTGCAATTTTATTATTTTTCGCCATTCCAGCCTAAGTAGGTTCTTTTTATTTTCGAGGGAAGGGCACAGACGGACTTACAGGTCTCGCCCACCCATAAAACAACAGCGAAAATTGAATTTCCGCTAAGGGGGTTTAGACCAAATAAACAAAGTACACTGAAAATAAAACTGACAGTCCGACAAGATAAATAATTAACGACTACGACAAGTTTACAATAACAGATTTCTTTTAACAGCATGATCAGCCTCCGTAGAGACCGTCAAAAATTGCCATTGCCGACTATATTTCAAGTCGTCAAGGCGGGGTATTGGGTAAAGTTTTCAACTAGCAATAATCGCGCCTCGGATAAACCTCATAGGCTACGATACTGCCACTGCGCAAAGCTGACTACCTCTAGGAGAGGGGAGGGTAGTCACTAAACTACATAGCGTTTTAACTTATGGTTTCATAATTATCTCTGCGTGCGTTTCAAAATGTATCCTCATAGCAAAATATCAACTCCTTCTAACGGCCATGGACAAACAAACCGCTGCATTTGTTTGATTTTATGGTTACAAAATATCACATTGTTAGTTTTCCCGCAATGCATTATGGGTTCCTTACAATAACTATTACGAACGATTTTCTGCCCTGTAGATAGTCTTTTCAAAGACGCTGATCAGAGAGTTGGCTTGGAAAGAGACATACAGTCTAAACTGGTTATAGTCTTAATTTTTTGCTGTTTATTTTCATTAAGAAGCTTTGCATCGATCCCCGTAAATAAAAACGCAATGCAGGTTCTTCGCCACTAAGTGGCAGTATATATAAATGCAAAAATGTTCTGAATCTGTTCTGAGTTTTTATTTTTATTTTTTTTTTTTGACACGTTGAAAAAAAAAAAACAATAATATATATGTTAATCTCTACCCCCTTAGCAGCCCTGAAAGCTTAAACGTTAGTACCATATAGTATTAGAATATGGTTTGCAAATTGCAGAGCCTCCTTTGTGCAAGTGACGACAACTTACCTAATATTTTCAAACTAAGTTTAAACGTATGATAAACAACCTTATTAATTTTTATCTAAGGAAGTGAGCTTACTTCTTCACTATTTCCGCCTGCCTAAGAAAAACTCTCGTTTTTTATGAACTGCCGTTAGTTCCTTACTTAAAGAAAGAAAGAAAAAAAACTCACCTTTTCGGGGTCCGGCGATAAAATGTTAATTGTTGTTAGAAAAATAAATAATGCTGAAAATGAAATATAATGTGAAGTCTTCCTACAAATACTGACCAATTGTTGACCCAGACATGACTTTCGGTCATGCAGCCTTAGTGACGCCAAATGAAAACGGCCGAACCGGAAATTATTGGAGTTATAGATTATTTTTTTCCTGTCTGTGTTTTGTTTTTGTTTGTATTGCTTTTTCTGTTTGTTAGTTTGTGTTCTTTATCTTCTTTCATTAAAATGTTTGTTTATCTTATATAATACACATTATAATTTGATCCCGTTTACATAAATCACTTTTTTATGCAGCCTTTACTTATTAATTGAAACACTTGAACAAATAAGCTTTATTTGTATCCATGTATTAATAAAGTATTTATTCCACGAGTCTAAATTACCCAGTGCTGTTTTAAAAAACACACATACACAATTTTTGTTTAGTTCCTTTCCTTTACCACAAGCTTATTGTGGCTTATGATTTGCGACTATTTTCAGAAATTTCAGAATTGACAGATGGTGTCCTTAAACCCCGTTTTATGATAGTCAACTAGTTTGAGGTTTTTACATTTAGGAGGCCATTTCATAATCTAAATGCAAAGTCTTTATTTTACATACAAAAACTATCAGATAAAAATTCTATTTTATTTATACAGCGCCAATTTACAACACATGTCATCTCAAGGCACTTTACAGTTCACCAAATCATACAATCAAATTTATTCAAAGTTTTCTATAAAAGGAAAACTAGCTGATTGCATGTACTCATTAACTCGAAGGCAATCACTCACACTAAGCATGCTTGTAGCGACAGTGGGGAGGAAAAATTCCACTTTAACAGGAAGAAACCTCCAGCAGAACCAGGCTCAGTGTGAACGGCCATTTGCTGAGGTCGACTGGGTTTCAAGGAGACAGAAGCAGAAATACAGAAAGAATCAGAGATACAAAAGGCATGTGTAAACCAACTGCACAGGAGACCCCATCCAGGGAAAGCACAGCAAGGTAAACAAGCTCCAAGCCAGCTCCCATGTCAGAGGATAAAGAGAGCACATCCAACTAGTCAGAGAAACAGGACTACACTGAAAAAAAGACAACATCTATAAACAAAGTTGTTGATGGCAGCAGCACAGCTGAAATTTCTCCCCAGGTTGGTGTCACAGCCAAACAGGGGGAGACCAGATAAAGCTACTATGAGAAAAAAGCAAAGAGAGCATAATGTTAGAGATTGAGCTAACGAATTCTGCAGAGTGTAAGAATAGAGATAGAATGAAGAAGAATGATGAAAAAGGCATCCCTATGTCCTCCAGCAGCCTAAGCCCATAGCAGCATAACTATAGAGATAGCTCAGGATAACCTGAGCCACTAACTATAAGCTTTATCAAAAAGGAACGTTTTAAGCCTATCCTTAAAAGTAGACAGCGTGTCTGCCTCACAGACTAAAACTGGTAGTTGGTTCCACAGGAGAGGAGCCTGATAACCAAAAGATCTGCCTCCCATATTACTTTTATAAATTCTGCAAACCACTAGTAAACCTGCAGATTGAGAGTAAAGTGTTCTATTAGGGACATAAAAGTGTTTTTAATAATTAGTATCTGAATATCTTGTAAATCCCTTTATTGTCCCACAATAAAGGGAAAATCAGTCTCTGCATTTAATTCAGTTTTAGTGGCATTAGGCTGCCATTGTGTGGTGCCCCATGGAGCAGGGTGGGGGTAAGGGTTTTGCTCAGGAACCCAGCTTAGAGGCTGTAAGGCTTGAATCAGGTATTTGCAACCTTCTCAGACCTCAAGGACACTGCTCTAACCACTAAGCCAACGCTACCCTTAGAAAACAAGTTGAAAACACATTAGATTTAAGAATGTCTTTCAGTGCCAACTTTATGACAAATTATCAGCTTCAGATGAAAGGGGAGTACTTAGACTGTTTAAGCATTGCAGATGGAGAGTTAAGCCTATAAAAAGTAAAGAATGTTGAAACACAAATCACAATTAAACTAGTTCAATACAATTTAAATTAAACTTCGCATTAGATTAAGGTCTTATGCTCTAAGCAAAGTACAAGCTGTTAATCCATAATCTAAAAAATGTTTAGCTGCCAGTGGTTCCGATGCACTGCATGAGGGTGGAGTGATAACTTCACTTCCAATCAACAGCTATACACTTAAAATCTAGATAATATTGGTTGTAATATTGGGCACTAAACCAAAATATAGTAAATCCCAACTGGTTTTGGAATAGCTGAGCCTATAGGAGGCCTTTCTTTAAATGCCAGATCAGGGCTACAAAATCAACCGATTTAAATTCACTCCTAAATTCTGATTATCCTGGCAGATTCATAACATAAACTAGCAAATAAAGAAATAGTGTGGGTAAATACTACTGGCATATTTTAGAGTCTGTAATTGAAAATGTAGGAGAGTTAGAGGAATTCAATAAGAACTGCAGACTTCTGGCACGACTTCTTGCATTATCATTTCACACCGCCATTACAAATAAAGGATCCAGTGATAGGCATGCGCATCCTGACTGTAGCTGTATATGTCACACTGTACATGTACTTTAATCCAGTTTTAAGCCCATAGTAACAGACTAAGCTTTACATATTGCCTGTTCAACGCAAGAAGCAATTTCACTGTGTGGATATTTGAAGCCCATTCACTTGTTGTGAACCTTCAGTGGTGTAATGCAGGTTCTTTTGGGTGCTCGGCAGATAAGCGCTGCTGTGCCAGGTGTTAAAGCTGCCTGAGCTGACACATTAGACAGGGATTTGCCCGTGCCAGAATGTCAGGCCAATGAGGCTCATAGAGGTAGGCTTGGATCACTGTCGGGGACAGGTAAGTACGCAGATAAGGGGATTACGCTATGTTTGCACTGAGTAATCTCAAATGAATCCTGCCAGCTTCTGTTTCATCCTCAACCAAGAATACACAAATTTATCCTTTCTCAACCCGAGAAGGACGTTGTGTGAACAAAGTTTAATTAATAAAATCTGCCTTTTATCCCATCTTAAAGTGCATTTTAGGGTATATGGTCATTTAATAACCTTGACAGCAATAATCTCCTTTAGTCTTCCTTGAACTATAATCTCTTCTCAGCATGTATTTCTTTCTTTTATTACGGTAGTCTGCTCTGTACAAGGTATCCAATCACCTGGGTCTTGTCATTTAGCAGTGCCTTTAAACAGAGCTTAAAATTGACCTGTTGAGCAAACGGGACTTTTTAGGAGTTTAAGTTCCTCTAGCTTGCAGCATTCCCTGATGACATACAGAGCCATGAAAATAGAGTTGAACAGATGGCTTAGCTCTTACCACCATTCAGCACAGGCTGGTCGGTACCACGGCATCCAAAGGGGCTCAGCAGAGAGCAGGCATGCTGAGAACTATTTTCCCCTTGAACCATCAAAAATAAGGAAAGCTAATAAAATCAGAGTCACACTCTAGTCATCATCTAGTTCATGTATTAAAGCTCATAAGTAGTCATCTGTTTGGGCTCAGGGACAAGAAAGACATCAGTTAGATCCAAATATCTGGCAGGCCTGCTTTACGCAGAACAGATTTCTTCTATAATCGCACATTGACAGACTTTATCGGGGGAACGCCATCGCCGTCTTATCTCTGATCAGCGGCTTCTAAGAGCACGTGAGTGGAGGCAGGTGTGTCAGTGCTTTTAGTTGGACATGAAGAGGATAATTTCGAAGTCTGGTCTGCCTCAGACCAGGGCTGTGTTAGACATTTGGGGGCCACCGGGAGATGATAAAACTGTGATTAGATTGTGTTTGGAGCATGGAGAGGAAAACAATGACATTTTTCTTGGTTGAAGTGACAGCTGAACGAGTGTACGGGAACATCTGATATGAAAGGGACAAACATGGCTCACTGTCTTCTGATTTCTGCCTAAACTTTAAGTCCAAAACCAGATAATTTATTACTTGGCTCCTACATTTCCATATTTATTGTGATATATCTTCAGACATCATTCTATTCATTCAAATGTCGCTCTTTCTTTGCAGCACTTGCAGACTGTTCACAACAACCCACACACTGCTGCCACTCTGCTATTCCCAGCTTGTGGTTTTTCCCAGACTGAGTCAGAGTGTCACCATAAGCCTGTCTGTCCGTTTTATGCCAAACCTGATGTCTCCTTACCGCACGTGGCTTTGCCAGGGATGTGAGACTTGCACTCACTCCATAGCTAGGTTAGATTGACATTCCCCCTCCCTTCCATGCCTCTCGGATTGGGGGCTTCCAGCTGGAGGTGCTCTCCACCGAATCAGGAAGTCAGTCATCTGATGGTGTTGTCTCGGCGTGAATCCCCCTCACTCCCTCATTAGTCTGTCTTCACACCTTTATCACCACTTCTACATAAAGTTCCCGTGTCTGTGAGCTGCTCCATCTGTTGACCTTGCATTTCATGATCTGCAACAAATGCATATCTGGCAAAATAGCAACACTGATAAGGCACTTACTCATAAATTATAACACATATATGAACTTTTCCCCATTTTGTCATGTTGTAAACATAAGTATTTCATAGGGATTTTGTGCAAAAAGCCAAAACAAAGTAGATTGTAGTTGTGTAGAAAAAAATACACTGATTTTATTTATTTATTTTTACAAGTAAGAGTATTCGCATTTTCCATTGTCTCAATAATTCATAAAGTTAGCCTTTGCTATGAACAAAAGCAGCAAGTCTTTTGGAGTATGTTTCTGGCTTTAAACATGTAAATTTAGATGTTTTTCAGTCAATAAAAAGCTTGAGCTGAGTCAGATTTGATAGGGATCGTATCGACACGTCAACTTTCAAATCCCGTCCCACATTCTCAATTGGATTTAGCTCTGGGCCTTTACTGGACCATTCTAGCACATGAATATTCTTTGGTCTGAACCTTTCCATTGCAGCTTTTACTTTATGCTTTGGAACGAGAGCAGTTTATTTCCAGCTATGTTTATATCTTATCTGACCAGCTTTGACATTCCTGACAAAGTAAAAAAAAAACTCCACAGGATGATTCTGCCAACACCATCCTCATTGAAAGTTTGTTTGTTTGTTTATGCATTTAGCAGACGCTTTTATGCAAAGTGATTTACAAAGTAGAAAAAACGTTGTGTCTA